CGGCAACCGCAAGGCAGCCACGTCCAATGCGAGCCGCCCCGGTCCGGAATACGGCCTTGGTGCGGCGGCTACTGCCCCGTCGGCTCCACGCATCCGACTGACCGGCCAAGGTCACCGCTCCGTCCGCCGGGGAGGGCGGAGCTTAATGGTCACGTGCCTGTGACGTCACGCCTACGTACGGATAGCCTCTCTCCACTGACGGATTTACGGAGCTGATTTTAACATTACGAGGCAACGACAAGTACCCTAACAATTGATATTTTGTTAAGAGACCATATTAGCGAAAATTGGCGCTTGAGCTTAAATGTGCTGTGCGAAAATTTGAAGCCAATTGGATAAAAATTAAATAAATTATCGCCGAAAAACAGGGTCTCATGGGGTCTGAAATGCATAGTAGTCATAAAACAGATGTCGAGTAGTGAAGATACGCCATCAGATCTTAATTACGGCTTTTGTGGATACACAATACACTAACATACTACACTTAAGCTAATTGTCATTCCTCATCAGAACCACGTTAGATGACGCACACATTATCCGTTGCCTTTCACCTTTCAAACTTTGACAATCATTGCTTGTGTCATCGTGAAACAATATGGCAGCACCAGAGCAGCCAGTGACGTCTACATTAAATGCTGCCATCCCGTGTCATATGCATCCAGAGAATATCACTGCCTTTATTACTTTCCCGAACGGTAGAGTCGTTTTTGTGCACTGTTTTCGTAATTGCGTAGGTTGCCGATGGTCGAAAACCACTGTGTAACATTTATGTTCTAAGTGCCTACCCGGGTAATATATGGCTTTAGGTGTAGCATAGCAAGAACAAACTTCAGCAGTCTTGGCCATTTTCCCGATTTCCATAGCCGTTATTAAATATAAAAAACTACGACACATAAAAAACACATATGAATTTTAATAGTGTATTTATTACTATTAATTGCAACATTTTTTAATCAAAATAGTGGTGCATTGATAAGATATTCATATAAGCATTTTGATACATGAACACAGCACTTAATGAAAACGTGCTAAGGAAGTCCGTGCGACCAAGAAAAAAATACCATACATGATGCCAAAACAGAGCAAAATAAAAACGGACAACTTTTGTAGTTACCGTAACAGCCTGAGCTTGCTGTTGATTCAACAAGGCGCGTGGTTCAGTCAGATCAGCTGACCTAATTCCGGTTTATTCCCGTTCCGCTTCGATTCCGTTTGTCTGAATCCGGTTGCTCTAGTGCCATTGGATCAGTTCAATTCGGTTTAGTTCAAAATAGCTCATTTGTACCAGGATCAGTGCGCATCGGTCAAATGTCATCCAGTCTCATTTCCTTCGATTTATTCCATTTTCCGTCTATTTTCGACAATTTTAAACCAGCTTCTTCTGATTTAATCCGGTTAAATCCACCTCCGTCGGGGTTAAATCCACATCTGTCCGGTCAGATCCAGTTGTATCCGGTTTTCAGTTGTTGTGGACGATGGGCAGGTAGTAGACAGGCTCCGTGTGGCTGCAGCTGCTCACCCGGAATGTCGATTCGTCGTCGTCCAAGTAGCAGTCGACTGGGGTGTGCTCGCTGCCGAAACACACCTCCACTTCGTAGATCAGGAACCTGAAATGGGTAGGCAAGTGACGTCAGAGGAGGTCAATGACGTCAGGCTAAGACTGATGACGTCAGAGAACGTATTTATGGACGAGCAAAACGGGAGGTAAAAGAGCAGTACAAATACTGCCAAGCGGTTGGGTAAAGTCTGCAAATATGATAACTGTTCATAAATGCCTTTTGATGTGAAAATAACAATTTCTTTCAGCTCTGCATACCTAATCACCTTAATTTCATTGCTGTTTATGCTCCCTTTAACCGTCTCTTACTGGATATGAGAAAAAAACTACCACTCAGTTATAACAAATGCGACTGCATTCGCTAAAAACAGTGAACAAAGTTACAGCAAACATAAAGCTTCATACGCCTTATACGCACATGTTGTCGATTTTCTGGCAGTTGATCTTGAAGCGGGTGCCCAGAGCCTCATCCAGCACCCCAGTGACCATGTTCAGATCCAGGGGCTGGTCGCTGGGTCCAATGCCAGCGTCAGCCAGAATCTGTAAAAAAAGAAACAGGTTTTGTGACGGATGTAGTTCTGAAAGCTTACCGAAGCTTATATACATTATGTATTTGACAGTACTTATTCATGTAATTGACTTAGAATGTCTATAGATATTTTCTTTGCAGTTTACTTTAATTTTTCTTAGAAATTAGAATATTTTTGAAACAAATATTCGCTGAAACTGATTGCTGATCTGATTTTTTGCCAAAGGAAAATATTTGGAATGGTGCAGCTTTTGCTGCTAACGTATTATCATATCACGCGAGAGATATCTGGCCCTCTACGACAGATCCTTTTGTCCCTCCTCCTATGCTGACCTGGAAGGCGTTGTAGCGGGCCACCTTGGCCAGGGCCTCGGCGAAGTAGCTGTGCTGATCGGGGTACACTCCGGTCGAGACAGCGCACTTGCCGTGCTTGTCCCATTCGTGCTGTGAACACCGGTTAGGAGGGTCAATAAATGCAGCACGTTCCTGACTTTCTTGTTGGGTGCGAAGGGATTATCTCTGACAGATGTTCTGTTCAATGTATGCGTAATTAACTTGAACTACTGTTATACACGTCTTGGTTGACCAGTTGACCAGCATCGGGTTGGCGGGCTGGCCCCTCGGGCCTGGCCGGAGCCGGAGTGGTCGGGCGGGTCGGCGGCGGTGGCGGCGGCGTGGCGGCGGTCGCTGCGGGTGCGGCGCGGGCGGGCGTGCAGTGGTGAGGTGATCCGACTCGGGCGATAGCACGTAAGAGCCGAAAGGTGCTGCGATTTAAGCAATATTCCTTTTGCACCAATTGGCGATCATTGTTTTGTACGTGTTCTGATTAATGAAATGAATTTATTCTATTCTATCTATCTTTTTAATATGAAAATGTATACCAGCAATGAACAAAAACGTTTTAAAGGATCGCTGTGAATTTTGTCGCGGTGTTAACCACCAAGGCGTCAACCACCAAAAGGTGCTTCAAATAATATAGTTGTCAATTCATAATGCATAGTGCTGGGATAATATCACCGAAAATTGATGAACCATATTTATGTACAACTGAAACCGTGCACGTCACCAGATTTGAAGCCGCGGTCCCGCCGCCTCGGTACCTTCCAGAAGCTGTAGGCGGTGTTGTCGGCGTAGACATTCGGCCACAGCTGGTGCATCAGGGGCAGCAGGTCGTTCAGCTTGTCCAGGTCGAAACTCTCTCCATCACAGTAGAAGGGGTCGTCACCGCTGTAGTTATCGGGCCTGAGAGAGAGAGAGAGAGAGAGAGAGAGAGAGAGAGAGAGAGAGAGAGAGAGGAGAGAGAGAGAGAGAGAGAGAGAGAGAGGGTTTGAGAGTCTGTTGAGGAAATTGAGGTGAAGTGCTAATAAGCGAGGCGGATAACACATGGGGAAGGGTTCCAGTGGTTATTGCGTTTGAGTTTTATATAAAGCTCTGTTAGTTCTATTGAAATTGTATAGCCTCACCCTCACTGTAGCATTTTTTAGGTATAATGTATTTATAGGCAAAGCTTATTAAGTGCTGAAAATGCCCTCCGGTGAAACAAAATACGCATAATATCACAGAGCTCATATAGCGTTAGGAATGACAGAGAACTTTTGCTGTGACCGACAAAAAGTTACATCAAATATCCGGTTTGGCTGAAAATAGCAGAGCTGAGGACGTCAGTGGCGTGACAGTGATGTCTTGGAAGCTGCCTGACGACTGACGTCACGATAATTTGTATTCTTGTATGCGTCACCTTGACTCACAAGTCCGTTAACTGTATGACGTCACTCTGACTCTCCTGAGTCCGTGAGTCCGTGGAATATAGTATGGACGTCATCATGCATAAGGTTGTGGACTTTATAAAGCTATCCTGGCTCCTAAGGATCTGTGGACTGCATGACGTCACCCCGACTCACCAGACTATGTGGACTGACGTCACCCCGACTCATCAGAGTCCTTAAGGTGACCCTGGCTCACCAGGGTCGGCGAACTGACGTCACCCCGACTCTTCAAAGTCAATCTCACGTGACTGCGACTCACCAGAGACCGTTAACTATATGATGCCGTACTAGATGAGCCCATGCACTATATGAAGTCACCTAGACTCACAAGAATCAAGCTCACGTCACCCTGACTCACCAGAGTCAATCTGACTTTACTCTGACTCACCAGAGTCCGTGGACGGTGAAGGTGGTGACGTTGTCGGCAATGGAGCAGCCGCCACTGTGCATCAGACAGGCAGTCTGAGGCCACTCGGTGGCCAACAGAAACATGTCGGCCGACTCATCCACTGTCGGTGCCGCCGACACGCTGTCGGGGAAAAAAACGGGGTGAGTGTGTCGGAGAAACGGAAAAAAAACGAGTTAAAAAAAGGCAAAAGGGTTTCTCGCGACATGCAAACAGATACGTGTGAATGTTTGAGGAACGTGTAAAAGTGTACAATGCCTGAGAAAATGCAAATGTCCAGACATTCAAAGCCAAATTGAAGTGCAAATTTAGTAGATTCAATCCAATGTCGAAGGCGCTGACGCAATGTCTGGAAAAATGGGAATACGTTGGGAAACGCTAAAGAAGTTGACCGGGAGATTTGCATATATGTAGGGAGACGTGCAAACGGAAACGTATAAATGTGATGTAAAACGGTACAGCCGGAATAATTAAGCGTTGCAATTTGCAGTAATTACAAGATGACATTTCTGGCGTAAAAACAAAATTATTTACATACCAGACGGCGACCAAAAGCAGCGATAAAATCGGTGACATGTTGACCGGGTGAGCAGACTCAGACTACAAACGACAGAAATAAAATCATCATTCACACAGACAACTATATCTGGCCCCATTTCATAGCGGCAGCTGGTCGTTCCCACAGACTCTGTGTCGTGAAGGTGCGCCCCTGATGAGCGCTCGTGTCACCTGTGAAATTCGCATGTGATACGGACATTTTGACGGGTGTTGTAATTTTCCTTCGCTCTCGGACGAGAAACGGACAAAGTTCGTAGTTGTAGGGAGGTTAGATTCTTGGATAATAGAGGCAGAAGCAAGTGAACAGGAATGTTGTTATCTGGATGCCGTCACGAGCAAGGACACCGATTGCATTTTCTATCCATAGTACTTGACAACATTCATGTAGGTACATAATACATTCTTTGATCTAGGTACAGGACTATAGTTCGTTTTTTTTTTGTAAGCTTGACCCTCACTGTAAACATCTTTTTGAACACAGCACGAGAATTAATGCCTGAATTACTGAGAAAACTGGTTAGCGCACATTGTATTGGAGATGTGAATAATGTTTTCCAAAAAGTTTTGAACACCGATGGTTTACCGTCATGTTAAACGCCATTCGATTTGTAACCTAGTTCAGTTATCATTCCTGACAAATCGTCAAACCCTGAGGGGTTGTTAGTATGAGCAGATACGAGCTGGGAGTCTGGAAAATAAGAGCCAGAAAGAAAGAAATTTAGTAAAGTTGATCGTCCGTGAAGTTCAATGTGCGCCAACCAGTTTTCTCAGTACCTAATAATGCTAGCAATTCTCGTGCTGTGGTCGAAGAGATGTTTACAGTAGGGGTCAAACTTAAATAAAACGAACTATACGTATACTGACACGTGCTGGTGAAATCATTCGGCCACTTATACGCGATTGCAACTTTCCTTGGAATGTACCAGATATATTTAAATAGACACATAAGAAGAACTTACATGCCAGAAGAAATCAGAGTGTTGTACGTAAGTCGTTAAACGATAACGAAAATGTTCTGTGGTCCTTGCTAAGTAAGGTCGCTGAAGATCATTAGGGGTTCACATTTTACTATTTGCATTTTTACGCTGCAATTCGTTTTTTTAACAATGGTAGATGGCTCCAAGTTAAAGTGTTCTCTGATTAGCTCACAAAAGAAACTGTGAAATACTAAGCTGCTGTCCCCCGGTAGCGGCTGCTCAATGGTAATAAGCAAACACTATCCTGTATTGGAACGTGTTTTATTGCGAAATACAGCGAAGACAAAACAACTCACACTGGGAAGCATACAAAAATATACATGGTTTCTATGCCTACGTACAAACGGTATTTACAGTACAAATGATTTATCAGTTACAAAAACTCACCCCTTCCAAACACTAAGGTAGCGATTGCGTCATATCGACGTCAATAGATTACCAGCAGGTGCAGCAATCCCTAGTAGAAGCGCGTTCTGTTTAAATACGCGCTTTATATCTCAGCATAGCCCCGGTATAAAAACGGGATTCTTTTTAGCTAAATTGCCTAAAATTAGCGTAATTTCTTATCAAATCCAGAAAAAGTGTTAATTTACAAACTGTCCTCAGAGGTTTGTCGAGCTTGTGATCTGAGTGAAATAGTTTAGAAATCATGCATAAGAGTTTATTTAGATTGTAGACCGCGCTTCAAATCTGCTGTGTTCGTGCTTGCCTTGCTTTGATACTTTTTCCATGTTTTGAGATCAGCAAAGTATCTTTTGTGGAAAATTGTATCATGACTCGATCAAGAGGCGTACAGTAACAAAAACTGTCACGACTCCTTTTCTCGCCGTCGGTGCTATACACTGAATACATTGCGCACAATTTCCATCTGAACATGAAAATAGCCCCAAATAAGTCGGATTCAGTCACTCACCAGACACACCTATTAGTTCTAGCCGACACTTATAACATCACATAGCAGTCCAAACAACAGTCTTGTGCGCTAGACTGCCTAACCACATGGCTTTTCCCACAGTCACAGTGCCACATAAATCGGTCAACAATAAAATATAATCATGTGAGTCACGAGTAAATGCACAGGCATACGACATCTCCCAAAATATCTATACAAAAAAACATATCTCCAGCCGTTGAAGTAGCATAAGATAGTAAAGAATAAAGACAGTTCCGTACTGCTTGAGGCTGAACTAGACACGACGGTATGCAAAGCAGCTCGGAGGTTTCAAATAGGTATGGCATCAGAAAAATTCAATGACTCGTTTATGTGCTGAGCCTGACAGCGACCCGTCAGTGACCTGACAGTGACCTGTCACAAGCTGGTGACCTGTCAAAGGTCACGCGGTGACCTATCACGGTGAGTTGGTATGCCGTATGTAATGCAAAGTTCCCCGAGTGCACAGGGCTCAGCGATGCTGTTCCTGTCAAGATGAAGAGCGATGGGCGGCTGGTCGCGCTACGTCGCATTGCTGTAAACGAAAACTCAAATGCCTCACATATTTGATACAACGGTAGGCTAGAGTTTAAAGGCGCCTATCCATCCGCTTACAGTATTCATTCGCTTGCATTACGCGGACAACGAATTCAGCGAACGACTCAGCCGACAGAGCATTAATCAATTCGGTCTCAGTAAAATTCAGCTGAATAGCTCGTAACACAGAATCCGCATCCCACTTTTTCACAATTATCTGAACTCAGACCTAACAGAAACAGTCACCCTTCACCTGACAATTAAGTGAGTTACATGTTGATTGTTGAAATCCTTGATGGCTGGAAAATATCAAATAACAGTTCTAACGATCGGAGTTGATCTGTCTAGCTATCAGATGTATGTACATTACACAATCTTTCCACAGCTTCTAGCTAGTTTATCAAATGCTACGTATAAAAGGGGCTCGATATAAAAGCTTCTCTCGTTTCATCATTAGTGAAGTTCCCCGTGGAACTCTAACCACATATCTACTCAATGTCGTGTCATTAAGTCTTCTTCCCAAGAGAGATGCGCATCTGGCTAGACGCTCTCGAGTCAATTTTTCTGCACAAAAGGCTGGAACAAAGAAGTGCCACCCATTGACCTTCACAGAGGGATCATTTTGATTTGTAAATCATTGGACGTCATGAAAATCAAGATTGTTCGGTGTCCATGACTTGTTACAGCACTAGTCACTACCTTACCACAAGACATGGGCGCAGGAAAGGGTAATTAATTAAGTCACTGTTTGGTGTTACAGATTCGCGAATGTGATGTCAATTATTTGGTCAATGTTTCTCTGAACTTTTTTGTTTTTGCTGAGTATCGAGTAGCAACATTGTACAACATAACACATCATATAGTCAACCGATAGGAATCGAGTCAATACAACCAACAGTCCATTGACAGTCAACAACTTAGCACGCGCCTCGTATGACAAAAAGGTCAACGTCGCACAAGAAAAACAGTTTCCTCGACTGTTTTGTTCGACTGAAAGGACTGTCATCCTTTCAACACTTCCAGCTCCCAGCATTCCTGACATCACGGAAGAAGTCTGGTGAAGCCACGGCGCAGATAATCAGAGAGTAGACACGTTGCAGTCACTCCGTATACTCCTTGTGGTCCCTCACCAGCATGAGGAGTGAAAATCGCCAGAGCGATTTGTTTACCCACCACCGTGGTCCACGCCACCCTCGCAGCATGTCGTGTTCTCACTCATCTTTTCACCACCCATCTGATCATTTTTTGTCCGACACTTCGCCACAACAAAATTTGACAGCACACTGCCGAGAACACTGAATGTCTTTCGGTAGCTTGTCGAGAATCTCACACAGACTTACCACGTCCTTCTTTAGCATCACTCGCGCGTACAGGCGTCCATCGCAATTCAACCACACGCAAACTCATAGCCTTCCACAATGTCACGAAAGATCCTCTGACTTCGTTCAAACTCAGACCGACCCTCGTATCAGCTCTGGCAGTTTGTCATACCTCGGCGGCGGACTCTCTGCAAGAGGCGCAGGCAGCAGAAGAGCCTCATGGTACGGAGGAGGTGCAGCCACACGAGGCGGAGGCGCCAGATCCGCACGAACCCCACTCTCTCCTCCACAACCGGAGTGACTGCTGCGCACTGAAGATCCCTCACGCACGCGCCTCTTCAGCAGGAGTACAGAGAACCGGACGAAGAGCAGCAGCAGGCACACAAAGAAGAGCAGCAGCACCAAGAAGATGATGCCCGTGAGCTCGTTCTGTTCGTCAGCTACGTCGTGTCCGATGTACATCTTGGCGAGTGAGAGCGTGAAGATGACGAGGATGGTGACGACGACAATGCAGCAGCACGACTGACACCTGAGGAGGGGGAAAAAGCTGGTTATGGAAAGACACTGGTGGGAGGAGAAGAAAAGAAGAAGAAAAAGAAGAAAAAGAAGAGAGGAATAAGCATAGAAAGGAAAGCGAGAAAAACCATTAAAAATACAGAAAAAAATCCAGAATCATTGCGGATTAAAGGGACTATCCCACCTTTAACATGGGGTTTGAGTTGAGATAGCCAAGTTTGCGGCGAGGTTCAGAAACCACTATCTATCTAGGTTGTAACCCCCGCGGCCTCTTGGTGTTGAAGAAATTCGTTCCCTTCATTTGAAAATGGGCCTTGCGCAAGGCCCTATCTTCAACATGGAGCGACCGTTAGTGTGCCGTCACCTCGTTTAGTCATTCTGATTTAAATGGGTTTGTTCGTTGAAAAATCGCTTAAAACTTGGTCTGAACTTTGTTGTGGTGCCTACAGAGTAAAAAGAATCAGCTTTATGACAGTAATGTGGCCTAGGGAAGGAGGTAATTTTGGGCTGTGACGTCACATATTTGAGAGTTTGTGTTTAGTCATTCTGATTTAAATGGGTTTGTTCGTTGAAAAATCGCTTAAAACTTGGTCTGAACTTTGTTGTGGTGCCTACAGAGTAAAAAGAATCAGCTTTATGACAGTAATGTGGCCTAGGGAAGGAGGTAATTTTGGGCTGTGACGTCACATATTTGAAAGTTTGTGTTTGGAATATTGGAAGCCTAAGATGTTTAATGAAAAATAAATGCCAGGACCGTGTTCCTGGTCATCCAATCTATAAAGCTGGGCACAATTTAACTGGTTTTAACAACATTTTAGAAGGTGGGATAGTTCCTTTAACGTTCAATCTAGTTGGCTGCAACCTCCGCGTCTGGCTCCCGCGGTTGCATTGAAGCGCAAATGATAAAATTCCTTTAGGATGAACGTGAATATACAAAATAGGGAGAACATGCGCAACAAAATCTCGCTGGGCACCATATCTTACTTTCTGGCCGGGTCACAATCGAGTTCCTCCGTCACCAGGATCTCGCCATCCCCCTCGGACGCCGCCGGATCGGAGGAGGCCATCTCGACCACGGAGGAAGCGCGCGCCGCCGAGTTGTGGCGCGAAGACTCGCCATTGGTCGGCGGCTGACGGTGTTCGGCCAATCGGCGAGAAGTCTCGCGCTGCGCGGTCGGTACCGGCGGGTACCTGCAGGGTCAAGGTCAAAACAAGGTCAAATGCCGGAAAGCGCATCGGTTGTGACTTTGGTGGTCCAGTATAAGCAAGAGGACCATTTCCAAGAGTCTGGGGTTGACTTCGCTCGACGAAATGGCTTGTTGAAATGTGTGGGATTTACCGGTGGTTTAATATATTTCGTCCCATACCTATACCTATTGATGCATTGTAGAAAACTACTTTCGAACATAGATGACGAGCAATGACGTAAGTTCAGAAAAAAAACAGCGGCAACTCATTAAGAATGAAAATGCTTGCATCTGAAAAAGTGCGAAACTAAAAGAGACCCGCAATCACTCGTGAAACCCATAAAACATCCTCGGCCTGGAATTGAAACCTCGACCTTCCTCTCACCTGTGCACGGGCGCCGGCATGGGGGAGTCGCTTCTCTTGGGCGGCGGCCGGGGCGACCAGGAGGCTGAAGAAACGTGCGGCCCGTGCGCGCCCCAAGTGTGTGGCGTGCTCCTTTTGCACACCCAGAAATGCATCGCACGCGCGGACTACCGGGGAGGGTGCTGGTGCCCACAGCACAGCGCTCCGGGCGCTCCGCCTGAGGGAGAATAACGTCAGTCAGACGACGGTGGCGCCACTAGCGGCGGTCGGCTAGTACTATTTTTGGCCAATGCTTTTCCTCACTTATTCAAAAGCAAGGAGTGCCCACTGCCCAAGACATTCTCGTGTGGAATCCACTGGTTTATGAATTCCTGACATCCCGGTTGCCAAGTTTACATGCCATTGGGATAGCTTGTTTAACCCACAACCGTTGCTGAAGGAGCCAGCCTCTTTCAACCGTAGCGCATAGTTGCAGCGTGATCACTGTAAATGAAGGTCATCATTTGCCAATAATTAGTGAAACACTAAGAAAATGATGATACTCCAAATGATCAAAATTGTTATGAGTGAATCCTGTAAATGTGCAGACCAAAATTAAGTGTGAGGTGCTTGGGCTGCAGTCCCAACTCAAGGAGCCTTCCCAAGCTAATGTGCGTTTGACAGTTGGCTCTCAAATCCTACCCCAATTTGCTATCACGTGAATGTAATAGCGCCTGTTCCATGTCCCCATCAGCTCCCCATTAGTCCTCACTTCCGGCTGCTGTGAGCTCATCGATTGCCCCGAATTCCCGGATGATTCAGCCGCGCTTCGATCCCGGACAAACACATTCCACTAGCGCAAACACGCCCACCAGCATTGAACGGCCGGCTTTCGGATCAATCCATGGAGCCAGCTGCCGCGCGGTGGGTCAATGATCAGCTACCGTACTGAGAAAGCTTTGCTTGCATTCCTGGTACTGGGGATAGGCACCCACATCGATTAGGGCTGGCATTTGGGCCAGGCTTAGGTAATATTGAAAGGCACTCTGGTCACTTTAACTTTAGTTTGTTTCATAAAAATGTCGAATGCTCACAATATATACCTTGGGGCAATGCGAACGAAAAGGAGGCATCATATCAAGCTTTATCGACATCTATTTGTCACGGAATCATTTAACAGCAATACAATTCTTCGCTAAGTGTGGTCCGGCCCCAATTAACCCTTACCGGACCTATTGGTTTTCTACATACGCACCGGCCGAGGGGGGGGGGGGGAGCGGGTACGACACCCCTCGCCGTTTCGCCCCTGGTGGGCTAGCGCGTCGCGGAAAAAACGAGCATGTGCGCCGTTACGAGACACAGAGATTGGTACCCGATTTAAAGTCCTAGGTCAACCGGTGACCTCTGAGGTCAGGTCAAGTGCCCCAAGGTACGGTTCAGTTTTTGGTAAATAACTTCGCAAAACACGGCCGCAGAGCCGCGATTTTGGCATTATCGTGTTCGCCTTGCTCATGCGCGTCGAATGATATACTTTTTGTTTGGGTCAGGTCAACTTAGAGTGTTGACCTCAGGTCACGGTCAGGTCACCCCCAGGTCACGAAGCTGGTCGAAAGAGGTCATGTTGCATATCATTCGATTCGGCAGGTCTTCCTGAGTCCATTGGTGGCTTTTCCGACTCGTTAGTCCAATTTCATCGGGAGTTATTGACGAAAAACTAATATAACCTTGATGACGTCATAAATGACGTCACGCAAGGTCAACATTGCAAAAGTGACGCATCTAACCTTGCAAGGAGTGCATCAAATCACGATTCTGTGTGTTTGAGATAGTTGGAGATCGTTCCCGGCGCCAGAATAGCAGTTTTCATTTTTCCCCGTTGACTTATAATGGTGAGTTCACGAAAATGACCTGACCTCATGTGACCTTTAGGAAAAATCCGAGATATACAAGTTGTGGTACTTGTAATGGATACTAGATCCTGCAAGTTTCATTTCCCTGTGAAAGCTCCTCTGGCAGTGAGGGCGTTGCGAAGTTGCGACATCTGAAGACCGTGCAGAGGTTCAGTATGACGTCATAGGTCAGTGACCTGACCTGACCCGAAAACGCGGTTGGTATCAAAAGATCCGACTTGAATCAAAGGTCAGGTATGCCAAGTTTCAGCTCTCTATTGCCAGCGTGTTCGAAGCTATCGCGGAAGAACCCTATGGGGGCGACAACCGCCCCCCCCCCCCCCGCTGGCCGGCGAGGGTTAAAGCAAGACTTTCATCAGTATGGTACTGTTTTTACAAAAGCAATTACTCTCGATTGTAGGTTTAATCATGTTTTATTCCGAACTGTGCGGTATTAAACAAATTCCCTTCCATTTGACATATTACATAACCACACGAAGTTCAACGAAACACGGGCATAATCAGTTGCTTTCTGACTCGAATGGCAATATTCCCCACTTTATAGGACTGGAGTCGTGACCTCTTGTGGTTCAGTTGCTATAACATCCCAGCACCTGTGGCGATGGCCTACTGTTAACGCCAGACCCCTTGAGACCCTAATTTTTCGCGATTACTTTTAAATGCGTGAAGGAATTTCAACCAAGCTCAGGACATGGCCGTTTCAAGACAGGCCGAAACTTTTACAATTTAGATATTTTATCGCCATTTCAATATTTCAGGCACTTGTCATTGACTCGTAATGTTAAATTTCGAGCAAGATTTTCATCCGGTGTGTAGAGGCTATCACCAGTCAGTCTGTGATACGTTATGACGTCACAGCTAAGCCCCGCCTCTGTGGTCTTGGCCTGCGGCGGTTTCGGGCCGGCGCGCGGTCACTCTCGCTGTGGCGGGGAGCGGGGACGGGCGACGGTCGAGCGGTGCCGAAAGCCGGCGGAGTTGTGCGTAGCGTCTTGGCTGACAGTGCCCAGAGAGCGACATGATGACTAAGGAGTCATAAATGCTCAATGCGCATTGCTTCTACAATGCTGATATGTTCGCTGATATTTTTTTTTATAAGCTGCAAATGACGGGCAGATGGCATATAACTGACATAAGGTAAGGAAATATTCACCTGTATTTAAAGCCTATGGCGTTGCAGATAATGCGATAATGGGATGTCGGATGTCACCAAGTAGCTGCCGATTTGTACATCGCTATGCAACCATCGAACAACGCAATAATAAGTTAATTGCCTGAGCTTCACATCATACGGCTCGCTCGTATTTCAAACAGATACCCTACATCGAAAATCGTATTTGTTAGGAATCGTTAACGTTTGTTCGAAGCACGACTGAGTAGTAGGTTGAGGAGTGATGGTCCTCTTGGTCCTATATACAAGAGTCAACAAGAGCCTAACATTTACTTGACCGTCTGCTGCAATTGACTCATAGCACGTGAAGCGTCAGCGAAATTCATAGTCCTTCACAGATGGCAGGGGTGTCGTTTGTACAGAGGTCGCTGATGGGCACGGGTCAATGCCGCAGTCGCGGGCGGAGCCTAATGTCATATGACGTAGAAAGCCTCTATCCAGGATGGAAAAACAGTTAACATTACGAGTCAATGACAAGTGCCTGAAATATTGAAATGGCGATAAAATATCTAAATTGTAAAAGTTTCGGCCTGTCTTGAAACGGCCATGTCCTCAGCTTGGTTGAAATTCCTCCACGCATTTAAAAATAATCGCGAAAAATTAGGGTCTCAAGGGGTCTGGCGTTAACAGTAAGTTCGTGTCGCTCCAGGCTCGATTAATGTGTCTCGTGACCTTTTGGTCCTGACCTATCCTTCCACTCGCTGGTCATACAATGAATCTTGACCTTTTATCGAAATGGGTGACTTTGCAATCGACCTAAAGACGCTTGAATCAACTCGACAACTATCTGCCATGGCTATAGAACTGCCTATCGACGAAAAGTGAGCAAATTAAACAGGTCACACGTGTTGCTCAAACCACAAACAGCTGGGCCCTTTCTTGGAATTCCTCAACTTCCACGAAATTCCCGTGGCCTTAGACGGTCAGCAGTAGCTCTTTGACCTCAGGGTTAGCCCACGTGCCACCGGGCGTTCGCAACTAGAGGCGGGCCCCGAGGCGCCATTGATCGCTGAAAGTCGCGGGAGAGGAGGGGTGGGGGTGGGTGGGGGAGGGGCTGCGTTGGACACGCGCCTCCAAGGCTACAGAACCAGGACAGGGAGTCGGTGGATGAAAACAAAGAACTTGAGGTCCCTGGTCGTTCAACGGTTTGGACGGACCGAAAAATATGATATGCATGCAGGAAAGTTAAAATAGTTAAAGTTCGTAAGTATTTAATTGAGTCAGTAAAAAGGCAACGTTTGCAATTTTCGATTGATTGTTAATCAAAATATTTTCTGACAAACAATGTATTTTTATTGCTGAAAGTACTTGTCTTCAAACACTGCTTCATAGAGCTTAGAAATAATAACATAAATGACATGATTGAGTTCATATTTGTTGGAGTTAGTCTGAAAGTGGAGAATCAAAAGGGACAGCCAATACGGTTGAAGTGATGTTATGTCAAGCTCAGTGCTGTGTATCATAGACATTAACCAGATGAAATATGGTACTTAATGCTTGCAGACTCAATTGAGGCTGGGCTTTGGTTCTGAAAAGCAGACTGCTCATCTAACATTGATAAGCTACAATGGAATAGAAAATAAGCCGTTTGATACGTTGTTCTCCACGTAAAAGAAGGCTTTCCAGTGAATTAAGACCATCAAAGTGAACCGCTTATTAATAGTAATGTTTCTAATTTTTAGTGATTTATGGTATAATCTGCCTGTTTTTAAACCAATGGAAGAAGAAAAACAATGGGAAACCATCCTATAAGTTGTTAAAGAAATACTTTTTCGATTTTTCTAATCATTCAGCATTGGTCTAGCTTCATGGCGTTATCAACAACAACTACGAATCATTTGGCGATACGAGTATAACGCCCTTACTGTGGATGATATGTTGAATTGCAATTTTTTTCTTCATTTTTCAATGCACCAAATGTCTGACAAATATCCTCCTCCATGGGCGTTCGATTATGTCGCTCTATCAGCGCTGTAAATGCCTGCGGGCTAGACTGCGCCGCAATACACCCTGCGGGGTAGACTGTGCCGCAATGCAGTAGACAATTGACGGCGTCCGCTACTGAGCTTTTAACGCGGGCGCGACTGCAGTTTGGTGTTGAACAACGCTGTTTTATGGGTGTTGTACAGCCAATAGAACAACCGGGAAAGGAGCATTGAG